TTTGAATGTCACGGAATAAGCTTGATCTGCTTATGTCATCGATGACATCGTAATGACATTCATTCACCTATTTAAAAAAAAATATAACCCCTTCAATTCAAATTGATAAATGTTCTTGATATTTTGAAATTTGCTACATGAACAACTTTTATTAAGGCAAAATTGTTAACTATCGTGTGACTACAACACAAGAACCACCAATCAATTCCACATTTCCAGGACAAGAACGAAGCAATCTATGAAATCGTTGTTTTTCAGAGGATTGAATGCTTTCAACCAATTACCATGCCACATTAAAGATTCTGTTACTTTTTATTCATTCAAGGATCAGTTGAAAATATTTATTACATCACGTACTCTATGAACTTTCTGAATTTTTTTAATTTTTATGTTTCCCATCATCGAATTGTTTTATTGGTTCGAGCTTTTATGTGTTCTGTATGCATCGTATTATGTGAATATTTCATTACCTACCCACTCGAATAATTGTTTTTATGTCCTAGTATAATTGTAATATGGAACTAACTATTCTGAATACTCCTGATTTGTTCTGTGTTATGGGACAATATTCTCAGGAACACATTTCTATTTTTAGCTTTTCAGCTGTATTTATATATTATTTGAACGTATTTTATTGTTAGAAGAATTTTTATACTATTTTAATATTTTTTATATACCATTTTTACCTTTTTGGACTTGTTATTATATTAGGATTTTCTATTTTCGAATAAAAAAAATAAATAAAAAAAAGATACGCACTAAGAAAGGATTTCCAAATATTCTAACTGTAAGCTTCCCAGTGGGGGTCAAAGGGGCACATTTACGTAAGAAAATTACCTTTTCATCACTGCTTCTCCGTACCGCTATATTTTCGGAGGCTGAAATTTTGTATGTTGGTTTGTTTTACATCGTAGATATGCAATAAGAATGGATTTTCAAATATTCCACCTGTGGTGCCCCCAATTGGGATGAAAGGGGGGCGTTTACATATAAAAATTACCTTTTCATCACTGCTTCTCCGTAACGCTATACAGTCGGAGGCTGAAATGTTTTAAGTAGGTTTGTTTTACATTTCAGATGTGCAATAAGAAATGATTTTTGAATATTTCAACTGGGGCGCTAGCCGCAGGGGAAAAAGGCGCGTCCATTGAAAAAAATTATCTTTTCATCACTATTTCTTCATGCTCCTAAATTTCCGGTGGATGAATTTATATTTAGTATCAGTAATGCACCCGTGCGGAGCCGGGGCGGTCGCTAGTATGGAATATACAGAATTTTCAAACACAATTGTGTTATTGAATGTTACCACACTGAACAATATTCACATTTCTCGTCAGTTTTTCTTGATTGTACAGTTTTCCCAGTGAAACAATGTGCTGGTCAGTATTGATACGGCTTTATTTTGGAACGAAAAGTTTCGCTCATGAGAGTACCCTCCATACTGTTTGGGGGTCCAAAACACCATCAGCGATAGCCCTGGAAGGTACCAAGCGAAGCATTCAAATAAATACTAGCACCGCAAATATGTGCATAGCATCCTTTTTCCATGTCGGAAATCATTGAAATTCGCAGTAACGAACGATTCATAAAGTACAACAGACCCAACAAACTGTACCCATACACACTTGGAAGCTTCTTGATTCCATACACAATAGAGTAGTTCGTCATATTTGTTCCTTTTATTGACCGTAAATGTAATTTAGATCAGAAGCGAGCCTACAGAGGACATGGATGTCGAGATTACGACTCCAACTGACCTCCCTGTAAATTTAGATTAGGAGCGAGAGCTTCTCAACCCTCCAACTCCTGATCCAACAACTGAACCTAAAAAACAGGTTGGTGGGGCAGCCAGCAAACGACTGAGTCGTCTCCTTAAGAACGGGGTACCTTATAAAACCGCCTTGCACCAAATTCTTGAGCGGCGTACGCAGAATCTGTCTCAGGTGGAACAACAAACTCCCCATTAGCAGGTTAGCAAACGTTTGCGCTCGAAAGATGATTCACTAAAACCAGAGGCGAAAAAGAGCCCTGCACGGTTGAACCTAAGGCATCATCAGGTGTAGCTGACGTGCAAAAAACCTCATATGGGAAGGTTGTCGCGGGTATCAAGGTGGTAATCTTGCACCTTGACTATCCGACTACCTCATCAGTAATGAAACGGCAGAGCATATACTTTGTGCCTGCCCCGCTGGGAAACGAATCAGGTTTTTAGAGTTCGGCAGAGCCATACTCTTACCATCTGACCTGAAAGACCACTCACCATACAAAATAATCGGCTTCGTTAAGAAGCTGGGTTTATTTGGTCCGAGTGTGAATAGGTTTGAGCCACAATAAACCCTTGCGGGTTGCGGTGGAAGGTCGAATAGACCTTCTGGAATGTTCCAGAGTCTAACAACTCTGGAACATTCCAAAAGAGCCGGGTTTTTTTTGTCAAGAAGATGTTACATTCTTACCATCTTGATGTATAATTCATTCAGTCGGTTACCGAAAAAAAATTATCTTATTTCGCGGAGGTGAAGCTGGAGTGATAGATGTGAACAAGGGTATCTTCAAGATTTCATATTTTCAACGAAGTATGTGTGACTAATTTATTTTTCAAATTTCAGCAATGGCAGATTGTTTTAGGGGTTTTTAAAAAAACTGCATTTTTCGACAACAAGAAATTCAAAAAATTGTTCAGAAGTTCAGTTGAGAGTCCGAGAAAAATACAAAATTTTTCACTCATTTTAATTTTTTCATTCATTTCCGATACTTCCAAAGGTTGCAATTTTACCGAAAAGATTTTTTAATTGTTGATATAGAAACTGATATTTGGATCTCTCATATAAATTGACATATCCTTACACTTCATTGCAGCCTACTGCGAAATTCATGCCGTATATATTAGAACCAAATAATCAGTAATATGTCACTTTTTGTCAACCTCAAAAAATTCATAGTTATAATATATCTCACCTTTCTTGAATCCTCAACAATTTTTTTCTATAAAATGGCAGACAAAAATGCAGAAACTAGAAAACGCATCAAGCAACTCGAAAATCAAAATCAGAAATTGAGAAAACTCCTAGACACTGCTTTGGAAGTTTCAACCCAAGATTCTTCAGGAATTTCTGAACTGAAAGATGAAGCACGGATGTTAACAGAAACGGTAAATGACCTGGAAAAACAGAAAAAACAACTTGAACACAGATTATCAACGATTTTAGGAGGGAATGAGGGAGATATGGAGACTATAATCCACGACCTTGAAAGAGAACATATGGAATTGAAAATGAAACTTGATGAAGTTCTCAATGAAATCAAAAAAGATAATGAAGTTATAGATAACCTCAAATCAGAAGATGCCAAGCTCAAAAGAGCACTGGTAGAATTAGAAAACGAAAAGTTAAAATTAGAGGAGAAATTAAAAACCGTTGAGACAAGTAAGAGTTCATTAGCACAGATCAGCAATAAACTCCAAGAAAAACTATCAGAATTGGAAAATAGAAAAATCAGCTTGACGGTAACGAAGCTACCGGTAAAAGAAGATTTATCTTCAGAAGAAACAATTCTGTCAAGTTTCAAATATATAGAAAAAACGTATAGGGACTACATATCAGCTCTTGAAGACCATGGTTCCGTGGAGAAAAAAATTTCGCAACCCGAGGAAAGAAAAGAAGAACTCATCAACATAGTTTCCGAACCTACAAGCAATACTGTTACATCCCAAAGCGTTTTACAGGAGGTGATAAACTCAAATACGAACTTGCTGCTCAAAATTAAAAATGTACATTCAAATTTGGATACGGGTTTGTCTCTCCCAAATTCATCGGAAGGACAAAACGAATGCTCAGAAATAGTTGACAGAGTTTATAAGCTCGAGCAGCAGAAGGACTTCCTTTACGACGAATTGGAAACATCTCTGGAACAATCTACTAGAGAAATCAATAAACTAAGTGATGAGTTGTCCGATCCTGAAATAAGAAGATTAATACATGAAATTGAAGTACAAAAATCTGTTCTTCTGTACAATTTAAAAATGCTCAAAATGAAGAAAGACTCGAATATTGACTTACCTAACGTACCAGATGAAAGAAACAATTTAACATTTCCAATACCTACAACTTCAGAACTGGAAGTGAGAGCTAATCAACTGTCCAAGGAGGACAGCACCGATGCACTGGAACAATCCAGCTTCGAACCCTCCACATCTAGAAATGATCATCAGACACTGGAGGAAGCAGTAGTCAGATTAGAAAACGAAAGGTCGGCATTACTGAGGCAGCTACATTCGGTATCAGAAATATCAGCTCAGCGTTTCGAAGAGAGACAGCTGCAGACCCAAAGTGAGTTGCACAGTACTTTCATGAGAGAAAAGTCTTCGGAAGATATGGTTCACAGAAAGAATTATGATGATGCAACCAATCAGTTGTATGCCAGCGAAGATGCTAGACTGGAACAAAGAATCAGAGAGTTGGAGATCGAGAACGAAAGGATAAAAAAGGAACTTGATGGAATCGTGGACCAAATTAGGGATGAACAAAATGGGGGGACTCAACTGCCAGTTAGTGATGTTTTAAGAGAGAGGATTGAAGAACTTGAAAAAACCGTACCACGATAGAAAACAACATAGAGTATTTGATTGATAATTTGAAAGTAACTAATAAAATGAAAATATCATTTTATAACAGATTATAAGGCCATTGCTATTGTGAAATTAATTTTTTATAAATCATGAATATTGTAAATCCATATTATGTTGAATCGACACATTGTCTAGAAAATTGTATATAGCAGCAATGAGTGAATGGATACAGAATAAAATTATTACAACAGTTTAACTTTATTTCTGAGTGGTATATTATTAATCCGAGACTGGCTTGAACATTTAAAGTTCATTTCTTTAGATTTGTTTACTGCCCGTCTTCAAGCATAGCCCACTAACTAATAAGAAAGTAATCTTTTTAAACCCTGAGTGACTGGTGTGTGAGTTCTTAAACTGTACAGTGCTTTTGTTACAGATATCCCGAATCCCGATTAGCCAAGCTGTTCAACGGAAGCATACCAATAGTCTTGGATTCTCTCAAGCAGCACTACTTCATTGACAGGGACGGAGGAATGTTCAGACACATCCTCAATTTCATGAGGAATTCTCGGCTTTTGATACCTGAAAACTTTCAGGATCTCGATTTATTGCTAGAAGAAGCAAAGTACTTTGATATTTCACGTAAGTTCAGTTATTTGAATTGTGACAGAAGTTTCACAAAACCTCTATAAATTGTAGCCTATATGTTATTCTGATGTATAAGCTGTATTCATGTAAAGTTTCATCTAAATGCGTTCAGTCGTTTAGGCATGAAAGAGCCACAAATATACATTCATACAATAATCAGTTCTCACAAACTTTCACGTTTACAATATTAGTAAATAATGAAGGAAAAATTATACAATTGAAGTGTTTGTATTCTCTTTTCGTGAATTTGAGATGTGCAAAGTCGTAGCTCAGATATTGTTCCATGTGGACTAACTTTATGCTGATCGATTTTTTCCATTCAAAATCAGCCTTCCACAGTTTCTTGTCCTGAAACAACAATTTTATTCTTTTTGGCTTTGTATGTGTTTATTTCAAAAGGTTTCCAGACCTGCGCTTCCATGGTTGACGTATTTCAATCAGATTTGAAATTTCTTAGGAACTATTGGTTGAATCATTATGTATGTCCTATAAGTAGATCAATGAGCTGGAAATGACAATTCCGAACTCAGCACTCCAATAAGTTTACACAAAGAAATCTAAATATTCACGAATGAAAAATTTTCGAAATGGCTGGCAACCGCTGCGTAAGGAGCTGACCACGCGACCATGCAAGCGCTTGTTGTTATACGTTTATTATGAAAAATGTGAAATGAAATTTTCCATGTTTTTCTATCACTTGTGTTTGTTACTGACGTTACTGCAGTTTCGTTCTACAAGAACATTTTCAACTGAAACAATCAACAATGTTACTCACTCGTCTATACACCACTGCAGGTCATAACCAACGATCCTTAATGACTTTATTACCTGAATTTTGTTCACCTGTTACAATGTGGGTACGCTTATCTGAAATCCGACGAGAAGACTAGGTCGATTTGGTCATTTAGTAGGTTACATCCGCAGTGCTTATGCTTATGAACTTCTAAGGATTCCAAATAACTGATGATGATCTACCACGTAGTAACGGGTACATCCATTCATCTATTATACGTTTATTGTTAACTTTTCGTACATTGGTACATTCCGTTTTTGTTGTGGGGTCCTAATTCTTGGCTTAGGCTTCTTTACACTAGTCTTGGTTTTACAGTTTTTATCAGTTTACGTTAGCCCTTATAGAAATGTTAGTGTGTTGATGTGTTACAAGTTTTTCAAGATGGTTTTAAAATGCTTTCATTTCCATGTTAGTATATTAGTGGGCTTTCGTCTTCTTTCTTGAGTAGTATAATCCGGGTTCATTAGCTATGGTCGGTTTTCGGCGAGGCCTAGTTTTGATGCAGCCAGGACTCTTCCAGTATATCAATAAATTTCTCCGGAATTCCAACAATTTGATTCGCCACTAACTACACCGATGTGCTCAGTGGTTTTGCATGTTTCCGTTTTGGGTTTGTAATATGCTGGTATTGAAAGCAGAAGTTTAGGGATCATGATGGTATTTGCCTTTTTGTAGTAGATCGGCAAGCTCAAGACAGGCTTTCAGGTTGTCGATATGTAGGGAAGGTTCTTTAAGACTGGTATGTCTGCTCAGGTAATTGGTGTCAAATAATCTGTAGTTGAGCATCGTCAAATTGTGCATCGGTAGGTAGTTTTGATATTTTTCTAGATCGTTACGGAATACTTTTGCTTTTTCGGCTAGTTCTGAAACAAATTTGAAGACTAAAAAATTTTTTTGTTGCGGTTTCATGACACTAGGTGGCAAGATAGTGATGTTCGGTCTAATCTTCTAGTCGTTATGGGCGTTACTGGTTCACAAATAAGTTTTTGAATTCTGTCTAGTTGTAAGTAAATTTGTCCGGTGCGGTGTTAAGGGTAGGCATATCTAGAAGTGTTACATTTTGGTTTTTACGTTACAGATATTGCTTCTGGTTGATGATCGTGTCCCAAGGTCTGCGATGGTTTGAATTGCAATTTGTGGCGCCAAAATGTATGTGGTTATCATTGAAGTGTCCTTGTAGGAAGTTTTTGCAGAATATGGAAGTTTATTCAATAATTTTTCTAAAGAGGGGGTGGTGTACATGGTTGATGGTGGTGATGATGGTGTACATAAGGGGATAAATGTGCTGGAGGTTGGCGTTGGGCGTTTAGCGTTCTGAAAGTGTATCACCCTTAATCAGATTCTACCGGGCGTTCGAGGTGTGGACGAAAATCATCGTGCATAGTTCATTAGTAACTTTCAGAATCCACATCGCGATCTAAACACACGTTTATCTCGGTAGCGATCTATCTAATATCTAAGTTCTTCCTGTGAACTAGTTTTGAAACGATGTAAAATATAAAATAAATTTGAATTTGATCCATATTTTATTTCTGTAACAGTAATATCCTTCTAGCATTACTATTTTTGTTTTATTCATGTTCTATTTTCCCCCTATGTTATTCACAACTTCCTTGGAACCGGTGGAAGAGCAGAAACAGTGCATAACTATTATCTGAACTGGATTGCCATTTTTTTGTGTGTTTTTCGCGGCATCAACTGCTAGGTTATTAGCCGCGGACTTGTTGTTTGTTTTTCAAATTTCATCTATTATATTTGCATCTTTCAAAAATGCCATCATGTTGTTCAACGTTCGTCTATCATCACATAGAATTTCTTTCATTGCCCCAGTTATATTATGTTGTCTCCTGGTTTCTTCATATTTTGGACATTCTACAGGTATATGTTGTACCGTTAGCACTGTTTGGCATGTAGAACATAGAGGTTGTTGTTCTCCTAGGAGTAAAGTTCTCCTAGCAAGTAAAGGTATGTTATATTTTCGTATGGCCGATTCGCAGACGCGGGAGAACAACTTGTTCTTTCCTGGTCAATTTCAGTGTTGAGATTCGCTTATTCACACTTGGTTTCGAGCATTTCAGTTTCGTATCAATTTCATTCTGCCAGTCAGATATTTCTTTGGTTTTATTAAAATTTTTCAGATCTTCTAAGTGGAGTGGTACATCTTCATATTCGTTAGAGTTAGCAATCATTCTAGCTGCCTTATCCACATCCTCGTTGTTCTTTATGCCACAATGACTAGACAGTTACAACATTTCTCCAAAATTTGTGATTTATAAAAATGGTACTTAAATGATGAAAGTTTTATGTTTATTATTTTCAGCAATGGTACGACATCTGGAACAAATGAAAAAAGATCGGATAAAAAACGGTATAGTTCCCCAAACAAACATAAAGAGTCTCACAGGAGGTAGTTCGAGTCAATTCCAAAGAAATTCTGAAAATTCCCGGCTAGGTCAAGAAATATATGAATGCGTAGCTCTACACGTCAGTCCAGATCTTGGGGAAAGGATCATGCTTTCCGGTAGTAGGTCACTACTAGATGAAGTGTTTCCCGAAACTAATCAAGCCGTCATGGATGCCAGATCTGGGGTTGCTTGGAACCAACAAGACGCCCATCATGTTATCAGGTTAGTGTTACCCTCAAGGTCATTATATTTGAAACAAACAAAAGTCAGTCGAGAGGATTCAATTTTCCTCCTTTGATATACAGGGTGTTTCCTGACTACGTTATGGAACTTCAGAAGGTGCTTCTTCAGGTCATTTTTTTTAAATCCTATGACATATGTACAGAGTTGCTTCGCTTCTGAGATACAAAGCGTTGAAGTTAAAAAAAAACTGTATTTATAAAATATCATGAATATCCTTACACCGATTTGGTTGAAATTTACTACAGTTATTTCAGATTGAAATGATTAGGTCCAGTAGAGTCTCAGTGGGCATCACTACCAACAATATTGAGGAAAATAATAACGCCACTGACTTTTTTGTAGTTTTTTGTTTTTTTAGAATGAACAACTAAAAATACAACTTTTCGTCGCTACTGTTTTCTTCATATCAAGCTTTGTTTTCGAAAAAAAAACTTTTAAAAACTATCCATGGACATATGATGCATTGTTTGGAACCTTTGGTGTAGTAATGAATATTACTGGAGTTTTTTCCCAACACCAAATCGTTATTTTTAACACCTCCACACGTGTTTCGATCACCAAGTGATCATCTTCAAAGAGGAAGATTGAACTGTTTAAACAGTTCAATCTTCCTCTAGTTTAATCTTCCTCTTTGAAGATGATCACTTGGTGATCGAAACACGTGTCGAGGTGTTGAAAATAACGATTTGGTGTTGGGAAAAAACTCCAGTATTTTTTATCCATGGACAACTTAAAATAAAAACCAAATGTAAATAATCAACAATTTCGACCTTAAAGTAAATGAGCAAAAAGTCCACCTCATGATAAAATACACGATTACAATCGATTCGTCATTGATTGTTTGACACGTTCAAAAATACCTGGAGTATTCCTTATGACATTGCCATTGTCAATTATTCGATTCCTCAAGTCATTCACATCTAGTACAGGAGTTTTATAAACAAGATCCTTCAGATGGCCAATTTTAAGGTCCTGCACGTCCAATCCAGCGATAAGGGGGGGTGATATCGAAATACTGATGAGCAAGAACACTAAAATGAGCTGGAGCCCCGTCGTGCATAAACTACATGTTGCCTCGTACGAATACCGGTGTTTCTTTCAACAAAATGGATAAATGATCTCGTGTAGAATTCTCCTGGTAATTTTGCTGATGAAAAAATGGGCCAATTAGGTAGTCGCCAATCATTTGTACCCAAACGTTCAGTGAAAATTGTTGCTGAAAATAACTTTCTCTAATAACGTTGAGATTTTCGTCGGCCCAAAAATGGTCATTGTGAAAGTTCATAGTAGCATCTCCTCAAAAATTTGCTTCGTATGTGAATAAAATGTTTGTTTATTATCGTGTGTCATCGTATGGATCAACCACCTGCAAAACATTAATCTTGGGCGAAAATCCCGAGGCAGTAGAGCTTGGATCCGCTGTATGTGATATAGGAAAGGAGGTTTCTTTTTAGAACTGTCAATGCGGTTTTTGGGCTGACTTCCAGATGCAGTGCAATCTTCCTGTTACTATTTTAAGGATCTTGTTCTATCGCATCAATTATAACTTCTTCTAGTTCAGGCGTTGTTACAGTTTCTGGTCTTCCACCAACATTAGAACTCTCAGTTTCACATAATATTGCATGTAGCTCTGTTAAGATATCTGTCCGAGCTTCTTCCGCATTTCCATTTGCTAATCCATAAATGAAGTGCATGTCAGCCATTCACTGATAAAACACTACCACTATCAACTGGTCTCCAAAGCAGGTGTTCATAATATGCAAAGTAGAATCAATTTTTTATTCTCGAAAACGCAGCTAGATATGAAGAAAACATAAGCGACAAAAATGTATTTTTAGTTGATCAATCTGAAAAAATGAAAAACTACAAGTCTGTGGCGTACTTTTTTCCCAATATTGTTGGCATGGTTCGTACTGAGACTCCACTGGACCTAATAATTTTAGTCTAGTTAGAGCATAGTAAGCGCCTTATTACTTCAAATAACTGTGGCAAATTTTAACTTCAACGCCCTGTATTTCGGAAACGAAGGAAATCCGGACATATGTCCGGATTTTCCTTAATAGGACCTAACGAATCACCATCTGAATTTTCGTACCGTATCTGTAGAGTAGGAAGGGTGAGTGTAGGCCCACAGCACTTAGGCCACATGTGACCCATTGTACATCCTCACAAGGAGTTATCCTCCTAGNACATCTCCTTTTATCGGCAGGTGTGGGCCAAAACTCGCCGAACACACACGCTCTTATTGCCGATAACTCCGGACACTCGCATAGGACAAGCTTGACAGTTTCATCTTCCTGTTCACACATCCTGCATAGAGGTGTGTCCATTAGCCCCATATTGTGAAGGTTTAGTTATATTAGGAGGCTTAGTTGACAGTGACCAGTCAGAAATCCTACTGTTAAGCGTAGGTTTTTCCTGGTCATCGCCAGATATTTCTTCGACGCCAGCTTCCCAGTGTTGCCCAGGATGATCCTGGCAAGATTACATCCTTTGATTTCATCCCATCTCTTTAGGGATTGCGCATGGGTGTGACGTTTGGCTAGTGCCGCAATTGTCGAAGTCATCAGACCGTAAGTGCCACTGGGTCCTAAAATTCGTACCGTAATTAGGAAACATCCTGTATAATGATAAAGTATCTTCCTTCCAGTCATTCAAAGATACTCTTCTATGGAGGCAAATTCAAAAATAGCACTCACTTTTTCCACAAGGAACTTTCCATTTCCGAGTTTATTTCAAAATGTTGTGTTATGTTATCAGAATCAATTCTTTCTTTATCTTCTCTAGAGTAATAAATGCATCATTTCTAGATTCCCTTTGAATGGATATTGCAAACTCAACTCCATGCAAGTGATAACCAGGCTGCTGAACGCGAGCTTTCAAATTGCTGCCAGTAATGGCGGAGGTGTGGAGGGTCAACAGTTCTCCGAGTATCTTTTTATAAGAAAAGTACTGCCAGGCTGACCAGCTCCCTTCAAGACTTCAGACAATCATCGCGTGCGACGCAAAAAGAACTATTTATATTTTCGTTAAACACAAAAAGATTTATTTGAGCCTTATATTAATTGTTAATGCGTTGTTTCAAGCTAACTTATGTAAATAATTTTATTATCATGATTATTGTAATTGTCCACGCCGCAGAAAGATTCACCTAGAAAAATTCAAAAGTAATTACTTTTGGGTAAAATATTGATCCCATGGACGAACAAAATGTTATTCTGACTCAGATTTGGCATTCACTGTATTAAGTCTGTGAACTTTATTGAAGATATCTTTAGAATCACTCCTTGAAACTTTATGTGTTCACCTACCACCCGGTTTCATTTTTGCTGAAGACATTACGTATTGATTCAAAATACACAAATGTTATTGTAAAATATTCGTTCTTGACGGTGGTTTTCGCATTCTTAGCACCATATCAATGTCGTATGGGGCTGAGGGTCGTTATGATCATGGTTAGTCTCTCTATGGCTCTATGGCTATGTCCAACTAGTCTTTATATATTCGTTGCATTGCAATTCCAGGTCACCTTCTGGATGACTATCTTGTCAAAATATTCAATAATCATGCTCGATACACCTAAAGGACGGTTAAAAATATCAGGCCTGATATTGTGGCTTTCTAAAACACATTTAACATCGATTCCTGTCATGAGCGAAATGTCAACATGTTAAAAGAAGTGATCTGAACTAATGAATTATATTTACCTTATGTATAACTAATAATATACGCAATTGCGATATGAAATGATGAAAATTAAATGAATTTTAATCTAAAAATATAACGCAACACTTAAGATTAATGCTAGCAAAATACCTCAGTCATTTTAACAATGCATCACGAGTTAATGGTCAAATATCCATACTACATCATTACGTTCATTGTTATTTCTCAGTGTTTATGAATAGAGAGAAATAATTGAAGTTGTCACTGAATGTCAACTCCTCTATTTCTTTTTAATAACACCATACCATACTCGGTTTGCAGCTTTCTAGTGTTTAAAAGTATAATAGAGTCATTTCAGTTGAAGAAAAACATATTCAACACACTGTATAAACGATATCCTGAAAAATTGTTGACGAGAGAGACCCAAATTATCCTATTCATCTCTCACTATTGGTCTTTTCAACTTTATGTTTGCCTCAAGTGGAATTCTGAATAGGGTTACATTCGTCTGAAAAACTTGTTCAAAGAAAATTACTTTCATTTGAAATTTTGAAATAACCTAATATGCATGATTCAAAAATGTAATTGATGAACGATATCTTAAAAAGTTGTTGACAAAAGAGACCCAATTTCACTAGTTCGGACTTCCATTGTCTACTATATAAAAAGATTTGAAATCCCTGAAACAACTAAAAAAGAAGAATTAAAAATGAATAGCTTCCAAGTCACGTTAGTGAAATGACGTGACTTGGAATCTCTCCACTTTTTATTTTCTTTTTTCTTTTCTTTATTTTTATTCATTCAATTGTTCTATTTTTACTTGTATTTTATTTCACTATTATTTCATTTCAGGTTTATTTTGCTTATTTATGTTTGCCTCAAGTGGAATTCTGAATAGGGTTACATTCGTCTAAAAAATTTGTTTAAAAAAATTACTTTCATTTGAAATTTTGAAGTAACCTGGTATGCATGACTCGAAAATGTAATTGATGAAACTGGCAAGACAACGCTAAATGCCTAACCATTCATTTAGCTGGCACATATTACTGATTGCTGTTTATGTGGATCATTTGCTCAAATTCACGACAATAGCATGGGCTGGATAAAAGATGTAGAATTAAAGCTATTAGAAGTCACTGAAATGAACGATTTAGAAATGTTGACGAGGAATATATTTTTATTCAAAAATGAAGTCATATTTTCCATAACTTTGTTGAAAACGTTCTGAAATTTTCAAGAACAGACGAATGTGAACCTGTACAATTTCCACTTGGGGCAAACCAAGAGGCAAAATCAAAGAATGTCAACTTTCTCGACAGGAGATAACGAAGTGAAAGCTATTTTCTGAGTTTTTGGTCGTGGTCTGCAAGTTTTGTGTCTGACGTTTCGTCTACAACTGCGGTAGACATTATCAAAGGCGATGTGGTAACGGTCTCAGTGCTCTAGTTGTTTCCAAGGTAGAAACTATGATGTTGGTATTTCACTCTAATTTTATATTATTACTAGTACTATGTTGCTGTATTGCTGCTGTTTTGACAGAATCAGAATCAACGTACTTAGGTGTGCGCAGCGTTATAGAACAGTGCTTTAAAAAATTGTTCTACAGCGCCATCTAGTGGCGAGTTACAGAAAAATTGATAGCATAAAAACCTTCTATATGAAAAATTACTCATACATGTCAAGTTTCATCACGATCGGTTGAGCGATGTAGAAGTTTATCACTTACCAACCAACCAACCAACCAACAAACAAACATCCATTTTTATATATTAGACTAGTACTATGTTGCTGTATCGCTACTGTTCCAATGTTTTGACAGACTCAGAATCAACGAACTTAGGCGAGTGCAGGGTATAGAACAGTACCTTCAAAAAATTGTTCTACAGCGCCATCTAGTGGCGAGTTACAGAAAAATTGATAACCTAAAAACCTTCTCTAAGGAAAATTACTTAAACATGTCAAGTTTCATCACGATCGGTCGAGCAATGTAGAAGTTTTATCACTTACCAACCAACCAACCAACAAACATCCATTTTTATATATTAGATTAGTGGGCATGGCCTGGTTTCTTTTAATTGGATCACCTGATCCTCTTTGTGTACCTGTAAGGACAAGCAGCCACATTTTATTGATGTAGTACTGTTCCTGAGTAGAAAGAAACACCTCGGTTCCGGTGCAGGTGTTTTCAGTCGCAGGCCCGGGACAACCTGTCGAGGAACGTATGCGACTGTATTCCAAGAGGAAATTTATGATATTGAATTGTGTGCGGAGAGATTGGAAGAATCCAACCTCATACACACAGGTCACTGTCATTTGAATCATCATATGCAAGCACATAGTTTGTACCTGCCCCGCTGGGGACAGAATCACGTTTCAAGAGTTCAGCAGAGCCGTACTCTTACCAGTTGGGTTTATTTGGTCGAGTATGAATAGATATGGGCCACAATAATCCCCTGCGGGTTGCGGTGGAGGATCGAATAGACCCACTCACTGTGAACATAACCTAACCTATATAAAAAGACAATAGAAATTCGAAAACACAGGGATAATTTCAATAGAAAAGAAGAGGCAATGGACATTAATTGAATCTGGCTACCTGTCCTTAAAGGTACACAAGTACACAAACAGAGTCAGGTAATCCAAGGTCAGAGAAACCAAGTCACGCCCACTAATAATAATATAATACCAGAGTGAAATACCAGCATCGTTGTTAAATGCGGTCAGAACGACTGGAACAACAACTCGAGAACCAACTCGGGCACTGCGCCGGTCACCACATCGCCTTTGCTAATGTACACCGCAGTAGTAGACGAAACGTCAGTCATAAAACCTGCCCACAACAGCCAAAAAACACGGAAAATAGCTTTCACACCAGAAGGTAAAAATTACGGAAATGAGAGATGAACAGTAAACGAATAAGTATACTCAATAACCTCTTATTGGGTTTATCATGTATTTGGAGACATCAATTCGCGCAAGTCAGTATGTAGAATGAGTTCCACACGAACTCTAATCCAGAAGACTATCAAAAGAAAAGGAAGAGCTTTTATTGGTGAAAATACACTTGGACATAATATAGCGCAACTAGTTATTGCATGTTAGTTCACAGTATTTTTCAGGTTTTCTTCACGAGTTACTGTTGAATAAGCAAATAAGCTCAAAAATACTGATTTAAACATGTACGGGTACTAGTCAGCACGATAGCAGAACCCATTAAACATCTACCGGTTGGATCTTGACATCGTCAAGATCTAACCGGTAGATGATGTCCTAAGAATCTGCGAATAGAGGACGATTTTATTGTCGAAAGATCAACAATAGGATACAACTGTTCTTTCATCAGTTACACAAGCTGGTAATTACACAAACTTTCTCAACTACATAATACATTTATTTTTATGAAAATAATAACTTTGCTGAAATGACGGAAGTGTCTATGGTCTGGCGCTTTTATATATTAATTGGTATTAATTGTCATCTCACATTCCAGTGATTATCGGAGATCTTGAAATTTTCCAGGTTAATCTTTCTGTGATTTGAAATATAAGAATCCTTGTTCATGGGTTGAGCACTTATTTCGCTGATCTCATTAGATCTAATCGGCTGTGATCCGTTTTTGAACAGTGACCACTGGCGGCGAGCTGGCGGATCGACCATTCTCCTATTGTAAAATATTCTATATCATGTACTTCACAATAAAATGATAAATACACAATGTGGCTCATTTTTTATTCACGTCTAGTTTTGTATTGTCTTTATATGTTGTTGAGTATATTGTATTGTAAAGAGACCGTTCTTTCTTACGTCAATCGAATGCAAATCGCGGATCGAAAATAATTTTTGCAAGGAACATATTCTTAAATGGAGGGGTTTCGAATCGAAAATGAAACCAAAAAAAATTAAGATACTAAAAAGATTATGAAAGAAACCACCCAGTGCAGTGAAAATTAAATCCTTATTTTTTTGATCCTACGAAAATAAGGCTGTGTGGTGCTGTACCATCAATAGGAAGGCAAAAAAATTGTGATAACCAAAATTATTATGAAAGGTAGAAAATATCATGTTTGTAAACAAAAAATAAATTGAAGTCAATACAGAATAAGGGGTAAATTATGGAAAATGGTTTTTCACAATTTACACTGAAACTAATCCTCCTGCTGAAAAAAGTTGAATATGAAAGTTGTAGGAAACATGAAGATCCACAAATTTAATAATTTCTCCACTTGATTCAAAATGTCTCTAGTGAAACTGTTTTTTTCACAGAAAAATATATCTTTTACGATATTCATTGGAAATGTTTTTGTGTGTTCTAAATGTGCTGTGCATTGTTCTCTGATTCCATAATATCCATAAGCTGGAAACATTTTTTTTTCATAATCAACAATGGTTCTTTCAGGACGTATACTTCCAGATAGTGAGAAAAACTTTATTCATAAAATTTGTAGTTGAATAACTTGAAAAATGTAAAATATAATGGATGAAGTAATTGAAAATTGTTGCAATATGCAATTGCATATTGCATAAGACGTAAAAGGAAAGAATTTGTTAGAAGGTACATTCACTCGCCCCAGAAATTGCAGATGATAGTAATGTTCTTGATGTTCACTCGGCATCACC